TTAGTATTAAATATTCTTTGACGTTTTCGTCAGGTTTAAAAGTTGTTTAGACCAATGTGTGTCAATCTTATAAAAAGAAGAGACGTTGATCAAACATTATAATACTATAGCATACTGTATTGTCAAATTTTTATAAGGAGATTCATGAAGGTTTAAAGATCAATTATGCGTAAGGATTGTAAAAAGAAATGTGATACAATTTTTCACGAGATTTATCGGAATTGATATTTAAATAATAAACTGTACCTTTGTAGGTGGTGTAATGTTGGCAGAAACATGAGGAGAATTATATAAGATATGATTTGACAATCTCGGCCGAGCAGGATTTAAAACCTCATCAGCGTTGATAAATACGAGGCTGACGTTTCTTATTAAGTCGAGTATGGGCGGTACTCCGGGTCCCAAATATTTTTCAGCGATCAGCTGCTGGCGAGGAATAAAATAATTATACTGGAAGTATATATGGCGCCACATTATTGCAAAGTTTTGTAGCCTCTGCCAGAATGATAGATTTGGTCCTGCGTTTTGTTCTATTTCCCAGTTGGACTCATGACTAGTAAATACTGGTGCTCCACAAATATGATCATAAATATTAAGTATTCCCATCGGGCTATATCCTACAGATTATATAAAAGAAGCAAAAGCAATTTTAACATACGATGACAAGAGTGGTTCGAGGGAAGGATTCCAACTTATCTTAATAAAAATCAATGTTATTCAATGCACATGAGTCGGAGCGAAAAATTAATATAATTAGCAATGATTTATCTTTAAAGTAATGAACTTCGAATGGACAGAAAATTTCGTTGCATTGTTGCAAATTAGTGATACTAATTGGTAACTATGAATAGTGTAATTGAATGGTGTTTAGTAACAGGTATTTTATTTTAGTAATAAAATGAATAGTAGAAAAATCGTACTAAATTAAAAAGAATTCCACATGTTCGAAAACTATGTTAACGGATGTACAATATTGACACTAGGTTTACGGAATAGGTCAATGTGACATACATTGAATTTTAAGAACATTATTTGGCGAATGTTTAAGTCAATTTTAATTGATGCAATTACACGAATATGTATCTTCATTGTCCATTTTTGAATCTATAATTTTTTGTTCTAGGAACAACATAATATACTGTACAACAAATGTCCGTAAACCAGGTGTTGAAGGTTCAGTAATTATTTATAGTGAAATAATGATATTAGTTACAAGATAGTGTAACATTACCTATTGTTGGAGCGTTAAATCTGTGTCCTAATGCGAGAAGTGACGTGCTATGGAACATTTCCAACATAACAAGATCAAAAGTTGCGTTACTGTTCGGCTTGTACAGTTGTTTTATTTGTGGATGCTTGAAAATCTCCTCCGAGCTCAACTCGTACATTCTGATGAGCTCGTCCTCCACGAACGAAAGCCAAGATACTCCGTTAAATCTATCACGAATAGCGTTGAAGTTCTTTCTGACTTTAAAAACCTTACTGATGTCGATCTGCTTGATATTAGGGACATCCAAACGTGATGTGGGTGCCGCGGTGACTAATACTATTTCGTGACCGCGGGAGGTCAATTCCAACAGTAATGGGGGATATATTACGTGGTGACTGTAACTCGGTGCCATAGCTAACACCAGAATCTTAGAGCATCGGACGTGCTCCACGAAGCAATTGATTGAAAGAATTAAAAGCGTAAACACTCTGAACTTCATGTTACAACGACCGATTGTAGTGGACTATCGTTCAAGTCGACTAGAAATGCACTAAAGTGCAAAATGCAAATTCAGTCATATGGACTGTTCTGCTTAGTAAAGAACGAAAGCGAAACAGAATGCGACGAAGTAAAATGTACTGATAGATAATGAACATTGACGTCTAATTTCGTTTCGACATTTTCTTATGTTAATGAAATTCCAGAGACATGGAGGATCGACTACTATGTCACTTAGGCGGTTCGATGTGCATTAGGTGATGTCATATATTAAAATATAAGGAAATATAACAGAACCCTCTCTTGAACTCCCCTACCACCTATAGTACTAGGGTATGATTAAACAAGTTCTATTTTGCAGTTTTATACCTGTGTTAGACCCAGATACCTCGATTAGAACTATAAGACTATAAAAACTACTACAAATAATAAGAGAACAAAAACTATAAGAGCTCAAGTGCCAAAACAATGTAAGTATAAAACTTATTATTCCGTCGCGAACAAAAGACTAGTTTTAAGTTACTACTTTGCCAAAATATTATTTGGTTGTTTTTAGTAGTTTTATTGTCACCTGTGTGTAAATAGCTATACTGTTATGCAAATAAAATTTTTTTTTAACTAAAGATGCATCGTATAACAGAATCCTGTTGCCTCTGTATCATTTCAGCTTGAGGATAGTCGGTCCAATTCGAACAGGACTTTAACAAGTGTTGAAGTGACTGGCAGATTATTATTAAATTTATTAGTCCAGTTACATTGATTATCGGCAATTTATTCTATGCGGAAATGATAGTTCATATTTTCTGCAATTGAGTGCAAATGCTATGTCATGTTTCCATATACGTCCTTGCTCCACTGATGTTAACGACCGTTGGGAAATTGTTGATCCATAAAACACATGAATGAAAAATGTCCTGTTTAATAGCTTTAGTTCTAATTTAACCAATTTTTTTCTCTGTCGCAGAACTCGAACATTTCAGCAATAAAATAAATTATTGTTCACGCCAAAACAGTATGTTTCTTTATTGGACATTATTCCATAAGTTTTCAGGAATCTACTATGCATAATAATTTACTTTCTGGATGAGAAAATCTAAAATAAATGTAAACTGTGGAACGTTCTCGAAGATCCAATTCTGTGGAGTTTAATAGGGCAATCAACAATATAACAGTAATCGAAGACATTTTATAATCTTTAAATCCCATTATATAACAATGCTATCTAATTTCTATTATATAATAGTACTACGTAAATTTTATTATATAACAATACTCCCATTATGAAACACTCACTGATCGAAAATAATCGCTTAAACAAATTGGCACGAACTGAAAATTTAGATACATGAAAAACACTCTCATTCGCATTGAAACAACCGAATCGTTATTGTTCCTGAACTATCTATTTGTGATTTATGTTATATAACTACATACTGAATTGTATCAGTTAAAGTGATATTATACCGAACATATAAACGCAAACTATGATTTTGAATGTCAAGCCAGGTTAACATTCAATTATTATCTATCAACGTTACTAAATCGTCATTAATTACTTGAATGATATAATGACGAAGAGCCAAATACATCAAGTCATTCACATCTTACCAGAGAATGTTTTGTAAACGTATCATTGGGAAAAAGTAAAAGTCGATTGGCTGCTATCATTAAGCGCCTATGCGGATGCAAAGATGGTGAACGGGTTACTCACACGTAATATCAATTTTATGCTTTCTTGGATATGTACCACAGCAATCTACGATGAATGTTCTAACTCATCTCTTGAATAACTATTTTCATAACCGTTCAGTTGAGGCTTTCCCGGTCAAAAATGCTGTGATGAATGTTCAAAGTTTTCGCGTGTAAATCGTCTCCAATAGAAAAGATTTCCCGACTTTAGCTCCGGTAGTATTGCAGCGGCATTATAAAAGTCTGTGGATTCAATGATATCGATCAGAGTCAGCACTTCCGATTTAATGTTTTTAAAGTGTGAGAACGATTTTTTTTCGGACAGTATAAGAAAATCTTCGCCAAGAGCATGTGCACAGAGGTTTCGCGCCACAAGGCCATCCCTCGTCGGCCACGGCTCATCAGGGCCGTGACTACGCGCTATATACATCATGAAACACTGAGTTTGTGAAAAGTGAAACTGTATTTATCTTTGTCTGTGGAGTCGAACTACAAGGAATCAGATTGTTTCGTGATGTTAATTGAACTGAATAGTTGAACGACATTTTGCGAATAACGTCCAAGTGTACTGAGAGCTGCGATGTAAGTTGTGACTTCGTGACAGAGACTATATATCTGTAAGATTGTACTCAGTGTTGAGAGTTATGATTGACTCTTGAAAAAGTTTGAGACTGATTGATTGTGTATCTGGCAGCTGAGTGACAGTCAGAGTTTGTCAAAAAGTCAATCATTTTTCCACCTCGTTCAGAGCACAAATCTAACACAAATACTCGAATTGCACCTGAATAAACATTCGCGAATCTCGAAAAGCTTCAATTAGCGACAACAACTGCGAGTTTTACGTATTTACCAAAATATTATACTACAATTTAGATATTGAATTAGCTATAAACGAACCGGTACGTTGTATGTACTTATTCCTACCGTAACCGACTATATAACTGGCTGTAAAAAGAAGGCAAATAAATTAACCGATACATTTTTCTCAGTGAAAACGGACACAAAAGTAAAGCCAAGAATTAAGAAACTAATTAATCGGACGATATAGGAATTGATATAAAGTTGAATTAGTTTACACATTCATGTTCCGTGATTCAGAATTGACTTAATTTGTGTCTGTGGGATACGAATTTCTCTGACTATGATATTATATTTCTACAGAAGTCCCCTTCGAACCTTTACTATGTTAGGTGGTCTAATTTCATTTTATTAGTCGAACGACATTTTACTTAGTATTTTTTAGCACATATTCGGACACGATTGACAGACTCTATATGAAAATTCTTTACAACTGCTGTATTACTTACAATTAAAAATTCTACTAAAGTATATTGTGGGAGTAGGATGCGAAATGACTGACTTGTTCAACAATAACACTTATTTATTATTCAACACTTACAAGATACGCGGAAAGATTTCCGTCTGACCTAGCGCCAGAACAAATGAACGTGAAGTGACTCCAGCTGTCGCGGCGGCCTCCACGAAATGTCGCTTCATCCCCACACCCTTGTCCATACACAAAGATATGGGGTACATGGAAATCCCCATGTTTCCGTTCAGAAAAGAAGGTTTTTTTCCACGTACGGAGTTAACTGGTTTATTTGTTTCATTAATTTGAAAGGGCTCGGCAATTTAACGCACCCGCACGGGTCTGCGACGCTGATGTTTGCTTACCCGTGCTACCTGGGCTAGAGCATTCACACGGTAAGAAAACCTTTCCCGTGTCCCGTTATGCCATCACATATATGTTTATATATTATCCATCGACTAATTTATTTTTTGTTTTTCGTATAAAATTCCTTTACGTTGTTTGTAGAAGGTGATGATAAGTTTCGTAAGTATAATGGTGATGATGGATAATATTATAAACGTTACTAACGTTAGAAACACTATAACGTCCATATCAAGCCTCTGATACCAAGGTTGTGTCCCTAAGGTGGTCCTAAGGTGGGCTGCACCCTTGTGACGAATCACAAATTCTGTCCACCAGGCAAAGTGCTTCGCTGTGTCGTAGGGCTTGTCTTTGATTAGATCTCTAACTTGAAGCATACGCTCTTTG